ATTACTTTTATAAATACAATATTGCTTATTGGAAAATGTATTAGGTATTAAGTTTAAGTAGATTGTAGGTATCAGTAGTAAATAAAAAATGTAATTTAACAAACAATTTTTAAAGATTTTAAACTATATACCGTTGCAAAACTGATAAAATGTTAAAAATTGTTAATGGCTTGTTAAAAAATAAATATTAATTATATTCACCTTATTAAAATTTAATATTGTAAACAATTAGTCATTTAATACAACTGTGCAAATAAATGAAGTATATTTTATGATCCTGGTTAATTATGAAGATATTTATTTTTTCTTTCAGTTTTTCATAAAAAACTTGTTCATATCTACCGATTAAAAATATAAAAAATTCAAAATACAATATGGTCGCAATATTTTTTTAGGCGTTTCAAGTTGGAATTTTGATAAAATCACGAAAATGTGCAAATTATAAATTCATAAAAATTTTTCTTTTTAAAGCATTTGAATTACAACATTGAATATTCACTCAATTACTCGTGTACCAATATTCTTATTTTAATGTTATTCAAAAAGGAATAACTGTAGAAACCAGAAATTTACACCMTATATTTATTTAATTAATATCTATACTTAATAAAATTTACAAAATATTTCAATAATTTTTAAGTTATTTATAGTCATTTTAAATTTTCCGTTTTTTATTCTATAAATGTCAGTAAAATTTTTTTCGTTGGGTAAAAAACTTGAAAATTTAATACAAGGTTCCCCATAAGTTTATATAATAGTAGTCTGAAAATATTAAAAATACATATGCACGTTTTTTTTTTATAAGCATTTTAAGTTCAAATTTTGACAAAATTTAAATAACCTAAATAATTGAAAATTTACAAATTCTTCAGTTGTTAAAAATTTATAAAACGCTTAAATTTTATAGCTAACGATAGAAAATTTAAAAAAACAAAGTTCCTCGTAATTATTTAATTCTTCATAAAAAATGATCTAAATACAATTCAAACACAGTTTTTTTTAAATAGTTTTTTAAGTTTAAATTTGAATGAAGTCATCAATTAAATAACCRAAAATAACAATTTTAGCTATATATTATTGTAATTTAACGATGTTATTTGTGGGTACCTACTTTAAATTGTATATAACTAATATGAATGATTGAGTGAGTTGGGTTATTGAGTACATACTACATAGTGAATCTGATTTGAATTATTTGGAATTTATTTTATAGGTAGGTCTATATATTTTTTTTTAATAATAACAAGATAATGAATATAGTATAATATATCCTAGACTGACAAACCGTCTCCACTCAGAATCGTATAATACAATGATATTATATCATTGAATTCAAATTTAATACCTACCATCCATTAGAGTAACCCACTTGTAACCTACTGTACCTACAGCAAAACGACATCCACTTACTTACCAGCTTTTGTTTTTATTGACTATTGTATATGCATTTACAAATCTAGCATAATATTTAATTATTATACTTTATTTAAATTAATTCAAGAACGTGAATAGAAACTACTTTTTTTATTTTTTTGTCATTCAAAAACGTAGAAAAAAARCAAAAATTTAATAACATGCAAATAATTATTATCAACTAGTATATATTCATACACTACAGATAAAATTAACTTATTCGAATTGTTTCAGGTAGTGAATAATGAACTGTGTACTGCAGAAGAAAATGAACCTTTGCAGGCAATTAACAATGAGGAAAATAACGTAAAAAACCAATATGAATGCCACACAAATCCTGGAAATACAGCAAATACTTCGGGTGAATTGTTCATTACACCAAAATTACCAGTGCAAAAAAATAATCAAAAAAGAAAAAAAAATTCAATGGCCGATGAAGCGTATGAAGTGATGAAATCTTTAGTAAGCAAGCAAGGACAAAGAGATGAGTATCATGTATTTGGAGAACACGTTGGTTATAAAATTAGAAAATTACGTACAAACTATGCTAAAAGTACAGTAGAATATATTTTAATTAACAACATATTGTATGAAGCAGAAAATGGGAAGTATGATTTCCCCCCTCAGCAGCAGTACCAATATCTTCAACAACCGTACAACCAAAGTCAGTATGTAAATGTGCCATATCAAAGCTGTAATATTCCTTCTTCATCAGCAAGTTCAGCTGTAACAAGCCTTGCTTCATCAACACCTACAACACCTGCAACGTCATTCATTGACGAAGATAGTTTCGATGAAGTATTACATTCTATTTAAAAAAAGTTATTATATTCTGTATATATGTTTTTATTAYTTTTCAACACAAAAGAGGTTTTTGATATTGTTTTTTTTCTTTATCACAAAAGTATATGAAATTGATCTATAATAAAATTAACATTGTTTTCCTACATAGTTATTATTATTTAAATAACTATTAGTAATATATTTATGGTTTTACCTTTAAATAATCCTTTAAAACGTCAATCAATGCTGCACAAACTTCGGGAACAATAAGAGAGATGCTTTGTTTAGAAATTTTAAAAGTATACATCAAACTATGATAGGAATCACCGGTGGCTAAGAATCTCAGTGCTACTGCTAATCTTTCATTCACTGGTATAGCATCCCTATAATTTTTTGTATCTTTTTTACCGATTCGGTGACCGACAAGATTAATCAACAACTCAAAATCTGCACTTGACACACGTAGGAAATTTTTGAAACTACCATTACACCTATTTAAAAAAGTAAATAACTTAGTAAAATAGATTATACYTATGTACATAGTTTAAGMTAGAAATATAAAATGGTACTATAGCATTAGCATACCTCAACTCTCCAGATAGATTAATGTCATCACGTTGAAGGTCAATCATTAAATCACTACCACTATATTGTTTCCTTGTTAAAATACTTGGACGAACCCAAAATCTTTTTTTTAGTTTTTTAGATTTTAAACTTAAAATTACGCAAGCAGCAGCAGCGATCGCAACGTCGCACAGTGGGATATTTTCATAAAAACCTGGCCAAAATATAAATACTAATTAAAAATCAATTTTCTTAACTTTATTTAATTATTTATATCATGTTATTTTAATAGAATAATATTATTTTACAGATATCATAAAAATTAAATTTTAAGTCACGTTTCTGTTGAATTTATTCACTCGACGACGACGTGGAAACTTCATTTTCACTACTAATATCTGACTCTGTTCC